TTTGTTTTTATTGTGGAACGTTTAAAGACAGCAGACTGGCCAAGTCAACAACATTTAATGGGAGTATTTCAACGAAAAATCATATTTTATGATTCTCATTTGAGTCTCTCATAGACGTTGCAGCTTATTCTTCAGCTTCCTTTCCCTGAAACAGACAGAAAAAAACCCCCACACACACGATAAGTTCACTCAAACTGTGGAAGGAAAACTTTGTCCCTGTGAAGACAGAGAAAATATTCTGTCTTTAAAGAGACCTTTTTTTGATCATTTCCAGTGCTGTGTTTTAGTTGTTCATTATTTAAGATAATACCCATTTATCTTATATACAGTTTATTATTTGTCTGAAACATAACCATTTTAGCTCCTTTCCCCCTGCCTTTAAGCTGGCTTTCCTCTGATTGGCTGCCCCTCACAAATAGAAGATTTGATGGGTGAGGTTTACAGTGACAGCTTAGGTATACCTGCTTTCTTTGACATCATGAAGATTTAAAAGCAAAACACAATCTCTGAAACTGAGTGTTTAGAGAGTGTGAGTATGTGTGTTTGTTTATGTGCACATTTGTCTGTGTGTGTGTCAGAAATTAAGCAAAAATAACTTGACTAATAATTTCACTTGAGCCGTTTGAAATGTCATAATTAAGGACAAAATCAATTATGAATGCATGAGTTTTATGCATTACTTACTTTTCCAATTTCACGACTCTTAGCCCTCAGCTTGTTGACCTGGGACTCGGCGATGTCAGCGCGCTCCTGAGCTTCCTCCAGCTCGTGCTGAACCTTCCTCAGCCTTGAAATGTGAGTATTGGCTTGCTCCTCCTACAATGAGATAAAACAATGGAGTTAACTGTCATAAAGACTGAAGATACAGAGAATAAATGACTGACTCATAAACAGCAAAGTATTTCATACTGTGAAACATTTTAACTTACAGCCTCCTCAGCCTGTCTCTTGTAGGCCTTCACTTTCAGCTGCAGCTTATCCACCAGATCTTGAAGCCTGGCAATATTCTTCTTGTCCTCCTCCGTCTGCAGTTTACATAAAGTCACAGCAAATGTAATCATATGGACTTTCCCGGGATACCAGCATCAACAAAATCAAATAAAACACCTTCCTACCTGATAGGTAAGCTCTTTCACTCTTCTCTCATACTTGCGAACACCTTTGACAGCTTCAGCTCCTCGTCTTTGCTCAGATTCAACTTCAGATTCAAGCTCACGTACCTAAAATAGGAACAATGTATGACAATGATGGGAGTTCAAAAATAAATAATGTGGGAAAAAAAAAGTTGAGGTCATGCTGGTGAAAAATGGTCTTTACCCTCGCCTCCAGTTTCTGGAGCTGCTTCTTGCCGCCTTTCATGGCCAGGTTCTCAGCTTCATCAAGGCGGTGCTGCAGGTCCTTCACTGTCACCTCCAGGTTCTTCTTCATCCTCTCCAAATGAGCACTGGTGTCCTGCTCCTTCTTCAGCTCTTCTGCCATCATGGCAGCCTGAAATTTCATATCATATGTATTGTTGTAACTGTTAGGCTAATATAGTTGCCAGAGAATGAGTTACTGTGTAGACATTCATCAGGGTGGCTCACATCAGTGATGGCCTTCTTGGCTTTTTCTTCAGCATTTCTGGCCTCCTGGACAGCATCTTCCACTTCACCTTGGATCTGAATGAAATCAGCCTCCAGCTTCTTCTTGGTGTTGATAAGGCTGGTGTTCTGAAAGGAAATACAGGATAATGAATCACATATTTGGACTTTCACCTTTCAAATTGTAAACATATGAAGTTTTTGAATCGTAACTAACCTGAGAGTGCAGCAGTCCCACACGCTCGCTGGCATCAACCAGCTCCTGTTCAGCAATCTTGCGGCCTCTCTCTGTTTGCTCCAGTGCAGCTCTCAGCTCCTCAATCTCAGCCTGCATCAGGTTGTTTCTGCGCTCCACCATTGCAACCTGCTCCTTCATGTCTTCTTGGCTTCTAATGGCTTCATCAAGATGGAGCTGGGCATCCTGAAATGTGTAACGTTAAGAGGTATTAGTGCACACTTTAAGCTACTTTTCAGATAATTTTAGAAACTTCGGGCAAATCCTTCAGTGGACCTACCTTCAGGTGTCCCTGCACATTCCTCAGCTGTTTCTGGGATTCAGCTGCCTGGCGGTTGGCATGACTCAGCTGAATCTCCATCTCATTCAGGTCTCCCTCCATCTTCTTCTTGATTCTCAGGGCATCATTCCTGCTCCTGACCTCAGCATCCAGAGTGGTTTGCATGGACTCGATCACTCTCTGGCTGTTCCTCTTGATTTGTTCAATCTCCTCGTCCTTCTCTGCAATCTTCCTGTCAACTTCACTCTTGACTTGGGTGAGCTCAAGCTGAACACGGAGAATCTTGGATTCCTCGTGCTCCAGAGTAGCCTTTGAAAAAGTGTGAACCATATTAACACAACCTTTCCTTTAGTATAAATATACAAACTGACTGTTATAAAGAAGAATACAGAAGAAAAAATAGCTCAGACATAGCGTATCGAATACTTTTCAAGGATAAATCTCACACAGATATGCTTCAAATTGTTTGAGCAGAACATGCACTTCTTTTGCACAGAAGCCAAACTCAGCTCAGGAATCGTAGATTCAGTTTTACCTCGGCCTCTTCCAAAGCTGTCTGGATTTCTGACTTCTCAATTTCCACTGTCTTCTTTCCCTTCTCAAGCTCGTGGATGGTTTTACCGGTTTCGCCAAGTTGTTCACTCAGGTCTGATATCTCCTCTGTTCAAGCAGATTTTCAATACATGAACATACTGGTCGATTTAAACATTCAAAATACTTCTCAAGTGTATTTTATTCACAGAGTGCTTGGTGAAAACTGGATTAATGGTCTTACGTTGCAGGTTCTTGTTCTCCCTCTTCAGGGTCTCCAGGTGATCAAGAGCTTCCTCGTAGGAGTTTTTCATCTTGAACAGCTCAGTGCTGAGAGAACGAGCCTCCTTCTGAGCTCCCTCCAGCTCTGCCTGGCTTTCCTCATACTTCTGTTTCCACTCTGCAAGAACCTGAAGATACAGCAAACTATTTAGTTTCTTTTTCTTTTAAACTCTCATCATATTCATATACAAAGAAAAATGCTGTACCTTGTCAAAGTTTCTCTGCTTCTTGTCAAGGTTAGCAGCCAGAGCATTAGCTCTCTCCACGTCGATCATCAGGTCCTCCACTTCACCATGCAGTCTCTGTTTGGTCTTTTCCAGAGAGGCACATTTTGCATTCACAGCTTCGATGGACTCCTCTGCATCCTGGAGACGCTGGGCGAGCTTTTTCCTGTTAAGAACATTCAGTTTTCAGACTTGCTGTATATTAATCACGACACGAGAAAAAAATATAAGGTTGGAGACTTACTTTGCCTCCTCCAGCTCCTCAGTGCGCTGAATAGCATCAGTTTCATATTTGGTCCTCCACTGAGCCACCTCGCTGTTTGCCTTGGACATTGAACGCTGCAGCTCAGCTTTGGCTTCCTGCTCCTCCTCATACTGCTCCCTGAGGAGGTCGCAGTCATGACGAGCTGACTGGACAGCATGAGCCAGGGCGTTCTTGGCCTATAATCCAAACAAAAACCAGATAATTATTTGACAGAAAACTTTTTTCGCCTTTTCTTCTCCAAAGTTTTCAAATTCTGTTACCTTGACTTCCTCCTCTATGTGCCTCTTAAGCTCCTCAATTTGCTGAGTGTAGGCCAGTTTGCCTCTGGTCAGCTGAGACACGAGAGCTTCTTTCTCCTCGATCTGGCGTGAATATTCACCTAAGCAACGATTTTTTTAGGTATTAGCATACTCAACAGCATCAACAAGGGAATAAGCATAAATTGATGCACCATAAATTTTCCACTGTTGCAACTGAAGAACAACAACATTAAAAACCTTAATGAACCCTAAACTTGTGAATAGCATCCCTAATGAGGTTAGAAATATCCACATCACTACATTTTTAACTTGTAAAAATGTATGTGAATATCCATTGTTACAGATCTCGCTGCTGTTTGCATTTTGCCTCAGTACCACTATCACAACCCACCAGGTGAAGTGGTTACATCATGAATCTCGGCTCCTTTGTCAGTCATTTCATTTTTTTAAGGTAATACAAAACATGATTTTCATATGAAGTGAGTTTCGTACCATTTTCAGTCTGAAGTCGTGCTTTTTGTGCACCAATATCATTCAGCTGACGAACATTTTCATCGTTCTTTGACTTGAGCTCACTTAGCTGATCTTCCAATGTCCTGCACATCTTCTCAAGGTTTGCCTGATGAAATAAATCATGTATTAGTAAAAGAAATAAATACATACATAAATAATAAAATTACAGTTTATTTTCCACTTTTGCTAGTTTACCTTGGCTTTGGCAATACCCTCCATGTTGCTTGCAAGGTCATCAATCTCCATCTTGTACTCGCTTTTCTCTTTCTCCAGCTTCTGTTTGACCCTCTGCAGGTTATCAATCTGCTCTCCTAGCTCGGCCACGCTGTCAGCCTGCTTCTTGCGGAGAGCTGCGGCGGTGGCTTCGTGCTGCAGGGTGGCCTCTTCGAGATCACGCCGCAGCTTCTGAAACTCGGCCTCGCGCTTCTTGTTCATCTCAATCTGA